TGAGACTGGGGTAGCCTGGTGGGAACCACCTGGAACACTCCATGTGCTCAGGAGGCAGGTAGCCATGTGCATGGAGGTTCCTAAGGTCGGCGAGAGCAGAGGCCCTAAGTGTGGTCCCCTTGCTGGACAGGCAGCACCCAGTGGAGGGGGACCGGTGGGGAAGCAAGGCTGCCCGTGGGGACGAGGACTGTTCCCATTTGAATAGTACATGACGGCCGCTGTTTCTACATGAACCATTTTTCCATCCTGAGCATGTCCCAGAGTTTCTGAATGAATGAACACACTGCTTTCTCTGTGGAAACTGAGGATGAGCACTGCCTCATTTCTGAGCCAAATGCTTCTGCTGCGTGGTTTTCCTGAGGATATTTCATGATAACCAGATGGGCTTTTTTGGCACCCGTGGATTTTATGAATAATTGAAAAAGCATCTTCAAAACTTACTCTACCTGGAGCAGCATACTCGGACAAACTCCCACTGGGAGATCACTGTCTCTTTTTGCCTTTGTAAACATACTTTATTCTAGTTTAGTTACGTATACCTGTCACTTGAGAGAAAAAAGTATATTCAGCCTTAAGCATCAGTGTCTCTTTTGAAAGTGCCCCAAAATGGACACCTTCTTGGAGGAGCCGCCCGCCTGCAGATGGGTGCCGAGCTGTGTGAGAGCCCTTACGGTACAGGACCCGCGTGCTGCGCTGCAGGACGGCCTGGGCGGGGAGCTTCTGTGCAGCTCACGTCGGGGCTGAAATGTGCTGTTTGTCCCAGTCCAGCTGGGTCGTCCAAATTAGACCGTCCTGACTTGGAGTTCCGGCTGTGTTTCTGGTGAACTACCAAGTCAGCTTCTTGGAACCTCTGCTTCCTCGGCTGTGAAACAGGCACGCCCACCTCGCGGGGTGTCTGCAGTCGGTGGGTGGCAGGTGCCCGGGGCCGCGCCTGGTGCACAGCTGGACTTGGCCGCCAGCCCTTCCAGGCCGTCCCTGTCCTCCAGCTGTGCTTCTTTCCACCACGCAGAGCCCTCTCCGAGCCGTCCTTTCTCCCCGTTGTCACCGTGGTGTGATACAGCTGAGTTGGAGAGAGAAGTACTCTTTTAGCATATGAGATTGTATTTCTGAATTGCCCACAGAGATGCTCTTAATAGAATGGAGCGCTATAAGCAGTAACTATGAAATTCTCCCTGGAAGCGCAGTTTGATTCACGACGATCTGCCAGACTCGCACCGTTCTCGGGCCTGGCAAATCTGCCCAGCTCGGCGGCCTTCCTCCGCGGCTGCCTTCATCTGCCTGCAACTTTTTTGGTCCTGTCTTCCTATTAATTGTCATCCCAATCTGTTCTCTGTTCTATTTGTGATCGCCTGTGTTGGCAGGAGAATTGGCCGAAATGGTTGAACAGAATTTCCTCTTCTCCACTCGCCCGGCGGGGGAGCGGCTGTGTCCCTGCTCCAGCCTGCCTCACACTGCCCCGGCGCTGCCGCCCCCTGCTTCTCTCCAGCCTTGTCCTCACGGGGCCATGGGCTCATCTTCCCACCTTCCAGAGGCTGGCTTCTGCCTCTCGACTGGGCTGGTGGCCTTCTTTCTGTCTCCATTCAAATTTGTGCGTCACTTGTCTTTTCCATCCTTGATTGAATTAGAGGGCAGAGTTCTTAATAAAGAAGCTGTGGAGTAGCTTTTTCAGTGTTGTTTTTTTTTTTCCCTTTTTTTCCCAGAGCTTGAAGATGACAGGCTTCTGAGGTCTCTGTAGTTTTGGAGTCTTTGTCAGAAGATGCAGTTTCTAGCCTTTGTTGCCAAGTGCCCACACTCTAGATGCTTCCAGTTCCAAGACGTTACAGATTTGCACTTTCCATCGATTCCCTTGAGTTGGTTCCCATTTGAGTGTCAAGAAAACTGAGGTTACAGGGTTGTGTGACTTGCTCAGTCTCTTGATGTGGTGGGAAGGATGGCGGCAGGGAGGCCCCAGATCTGTACCTATACCAGACGATTCGAGGGAAGGTCCACCCCACCCTGCCCTCCCCTCCCTCCCTGCCAAAGATCAAATCTCAGGAAGACTGTACGTGACCCTTCTGGTGCTGCATGTCCGTGTCCATCACTGCGGACAGGACGTTTCTGTCTCTTACCCCAATCCCACCAGAGCCGCCTGGCGGGGGAAGGAGCTGCTCAGCAGGGTGGAGGGGAGGATCCGGCAGACGGGTCAGTGGTTCATGACGTCCTCCCTCTGTGGCGCAGCGCCTCTGGCCCGCCTGCAGACGTGAAGAATTGAGCATTGTTACAAGTGGAAAACGGGATGGTTATTTCCAAGGCAGAAGAAGAATCGCAGTCCTCTGGGAGCCAGCAGCATTTGTGTAATTTGCTAATGATGGAAACTTTCCCTCGGAAAGAGCGAAGTGCCCCAGGCCGTGTACAGGACAGGAATGGCACTTCAAATCCACTGGGCACTGCCCTCACTCAGCAGGGCGTGGCCTGGGGCGCACTGACAGGCCCCACCTGACCTAGCTTCCAGAGGAGCGTGCTGAAGAGCGCGGAGTTGGTTTTGGTAACGTCTGTGTTCCTAGGACTCGTTCCCATTGCAGCAGGCGCTGTGCTGTAGTGGGGAGGGTCTATAGGTGATGCCCAGGTGCTGGGAGAACGAGGAGAGGGAGGGAAAAGCTCACTCAAGCCCAACAGATTCAGACTGAGTTCCGCAGATGGGCGTCGGCACGGAGATACACGAGGAGATTTCAGTTACCTGTGAATGAGTTGATTATTGAATGTGACCCTGGGATGATGGGATTTTTGTTGACCATGGTGTGTAAACTACCAAATCTGACCCTGTAATTCACTCATTTACTCAATGTTTACTGTGGGTTTACGATTGGCCGGAGCCTGTGCCAGCCACTGTGGGGGTTACAGGTGAGGTCGACAGGGACTCCGTCTTCGAGGAGCTCAGTCATGCACGGAATCCAGGGCACTCGTGTAAGTGGCAATAATAATGATAATAGGAATAGTAATAGCTCTTTTTGTTGAGTGTTTGCCAGGTCCCAGGCATCGTGACACACACTTCGTACGCTCTGGCCCATCTGAGTCCCCTCCATGGCCCTGCCTCGCAGCCTGTTCCCTGGGTACAGGGCTGCCTGTAGTGAGCACGGGTCTCAGTGTAGACCAGCTGCTGGGACTCAGAGGAAGGCGTCCTTGCAGCCAGGGCGGCGGGGGAGGCTTGGTGAAGAGGACGCGTCTGAACTGAGACAAAGAACTAGGAGGATTAGGATGCACAAAAATGGCCGTCAGAGATGTGCGGAGGAGAGGACACAGGACAGAAGAGGGGGTGACAGGGCGTTTGTTTTGGCAGAAGAATTGCCTGAATCTGGCTGCAGGTCCTGACCTGATTCAAGGCTGGGCTCGGCTTTTTTTTTGGGAGGCTGTCCCTCACTTAGTGTGTCGTCCTTTGGGCCCCACCCAAAGCTTCCGGGGCTTACCATCCACTGTCCTTGGGGACACAGAATGTCACTGTTCCCCCCACCCCGGGCCCTGTGAGTGTGAAAGGCTCTGCTCAGATTCTCAGCCTCCTGTCAGTTCTTGAGGCCCCTCTGGGGGAGTTCAAGACGGGCTCCTGTCCCCGTGTCGCCTTCTGCCAGGCTGGGCTCCGTACTTGCTCCTAGCCTTGGTGGCTTTCCGGTTCCTCGGAGAGACTGTGGAACGGCTCTGTCTGTGCTCTCTGGTCGTCTGCAAGTGGCTGGGCTGGTCTGAATTGTCCATCTGCTGTTACCAGAAGTCAGGGCCCCTGAAGTCCTTTTTGTGCCTGTTGACTGTGAGCTGCTTGTGGGCCTGCTGGGGGTTTGCACTTACCTGTTTGCCTGATGGATGATACGCTGGCACCTGGCTTACCTGTAACTGAGTCTTCGTGTTGCTCTCTGCTGCTCTGTTGACTTCCTGTTGGGATTCCGAGGGATTCAAAAACTGTTCTGTAGCCACCAGCTGGAATTGTATTTGGGTTTGCTTTTTCTTTGCTTAATGCAGGTCATTTAAAAATTAACTTTTCATGGTGATGTTTCTTCAGATGTTTCTTCAGAATTGGTGGGCACCTCCATCTCATTTAGAAGTGGCTCTGGTTCATCACCAAGTCAGTTTCTTTGGGTGCGAAAGATACCTGCACTGTTGTCAGCAGTTTTTGTGGTCTGAGGGTGAGAGTTGGTGCATTTTTCTTCAAACTTATGCAGCCGTTGTGCTGTGCAGAGAGCCCTTGAGTAACGGGTGTCCTGGGAGCAGGTGATCTGATGTCCATTTCCTGGGCTGACCGCTTGGGGGCGGCGGTTGGTGAACCAGAGAGCATAGGGGAGGGAGCAGCTGGGAGGCCCCGGCGCTAATCTGGAGGGAGAGGATGGAGACCCAGATCAGGGTGGTGGCTGTGAAAGCTGCTTCTGGGAACACTGAGAGCTGGCAGGATTTCCAGTTGGATTGGGTGTGGGCGTGAGGTAAAGAAAGGACTCCAGGACGAGTCCCGGATTAAATGGATAGGTAACCTCACCAAGAAGAAAAAAGATCAGGGGACATCACGCTCTCCCGCCGCCCTGGCTGTGGGTGCCCCACAGAGGTTTAAACGTGCTCCTGTGTCAGAGAAGAGGCTTCTTGAAATTGGGAGAGGAGGTGGCTTTCAGACTCAGTTGAAGTGACACGGAGCAGCTGCCGCACGGACGAGGGAGCTGCTCGCGCCGAGGCCCGGAGGTAAAGGTGGGTTGTTGCCGTCCGGGCACGCAGCAGCCGGGGCGGCGCGGGCACGACAGGACGCGGTAGCTGTGTCTGCAGACAGGTGGTCGGCACCTGCCCTCCCTCAGAAGTGCTCCGTTCTCCACTCTTGTCGCCTGTGGCAGGTGTGACTGTCCGTTCGTGGGGATTCATCAGGCAGTTGTGATTAACAGGAGACGGAATAGTGAGGACACACGGGAGTGCTGCCCCGGTTGCTGTTGACACTCGAATAAAACCGCCAACGTTAAAAAAAAACCCAGCTGACTTCCGACTTCGTTCTCGCCTTGCAGATGGCATCAGCGTGAGCGGCTTTCCGCTGTGCAGCCCCTTTCGGCAGGTGGTTCGGCCTCGAGTGGATGGCAAAGCGGCGAGCGCGGCTGAGAGCAGCCGGCCCGGGGACCCGAGCCACGTGAAGGTGAGTCGGCCCCACGCGGGGCGGCCTGGCGCTCTTGGTTTCAGCCCAGCCTTTTCGGAGACAAAGTTTTGAGTATTTTTCAGAAAGGAAAGGAAGTGTGTATTTCGTAGCCGACTTGTGTTTGTGGGAAGCTGGTTTCTCAGCATCTCCCCTTCTGCACAGGCTCGGGAAGCGGCTGGAGAGAAGCCGTGTGTGTTGGCGCTGCTGACTTGTGTCCTGAAGAGTTGGGAAGTCGTGGGTAGAGTCTGTTTTGGCTTTCTGTCCCTCCACCCCCCGACCCGTTTTGTGTTGACACGAGGGGTCAGACGTGGTGGCTCTGCCCTGTGCTTTTGTGCCTCTGTGCGCTTGAGCCCCTGCCCGGCTGGTTGGAGAAAGCCTTCCCTCGGAGGGGCTCCTGACCTCAGCAGGGCCGAGGTTTTCCTCCAGGTGGGCTTCAGGCCCCTTTCTGGCCCACCTGCACGGGGACTGAGTCCAGGCACCCTCCAGGCTGGCGGGATTGGTACTGCTATAGGAGTCGGCCACTGAAACGTGGTTCAGACTGGAGGGGTCACTCAGGAGTCATTGACTGACAGCTGCTGTGTGTTGAGTAGCAGACCAGGTGATGGGGATGCATTAGACAGCTCTTGACTTGAAGGAACTCATGGGCTGCTGGGAAGGACGGACATAAACAAAACAGGAAAAATGCTTAGACGAGAGGTAATCCCGTTGCTGTGGCTGCACAGAGACAAGTGCCCTCTCTGTCCAGGGAAGCCAGGAAGACCTGTTGGGGGGAGTGGTACTTGAATGGAGTATTGAGGGAGGAACGTACTGGAGATGGCCAGCAAGCCAGGGTGAGAGGGTACTCCCCCATGGGGAGGAGCATGTGCAAAGGCCCTGGGGTGGGGGTGGTGCACTGTGGGTCTGGTGTCCTGGAGCTGGAGGGAGACTGTGGCCAGGCTGGCCTCTCTAGCTGCATTCAGGGCCCTTCTGGACTTTGCACCTGGCAGATCTGTCTGTCCCAGACTTCCCCTCTGCGCGTCAGCCACACCGAACTTGTGCTGCTTTCCTCAGGCGGTCTGGGGACCCTTGTCCATGAGTTTCTTATCAAGAAAACAAGAAGGGAAAGAGCTAACACTTCCAGGGGTGCCCTGCAGGCAGACAGGCACCGTGCAGGTGCTCTGCATCCATCACTTGGCCCCATCTTTGCACACACCCCATGGAGGTGGGGGAGCTGAGGCTGAGGGCCAGGGTGGCTCGCCCAAGTTCATGGGGTAGCAGGCATGGATGGAGGCTGTGAACCATGCTCCTTCTCTCACCTTATGTGAGTTCAGCCCTATGTAGGACAGGATCCCATGTGGGTGACGGACGCTGGGTGCTGCACCATCGGCAGCAGGCAGGGAGGTGCGGGAGCCTGTGTGCCTGGGATGGAGCCTCCGGTTTGGCTGAGGTCAGGCGGAGGTGGATGTGGTGCTCCCGTACCTGCGAAATGTCACAGTTCTTCCCAGTCGTTCAGATACGTCCTCGTGGCTCAGGTGAACTTCTGAGCGCTGGTGGGACTGGTGTCAGAGTGGCTTAGATGGCTTCTGGTGCTGTCGCGTGGGGGCCTCCTGGCTCTACACAGTCCTTCCCCCAAGACCAGGAGCAGTTTTAACTGGAAACGTGCTAAACCTGTAAAATCATCGCTGAGGAATGGCGTAGCCATGGAAACAAGTAATTCAGTGAAAGCAGCCTCTAGGGAGCCCCTCAGGAAGTGGGGAAAGATGACAAGTGTTTCTTCAGGTTTCCTGGAAAGATTCCTTCCCCCGCTCGGCGAGCCCCAGGTCTATCCATGTTGATGACTGTCTTTTCCACACACCTTAAAGAACCTTCCAGGATGGAAAAAAGATTGTGTGAAGTGGATGCACACTTGAAATAATATTCCTGTAAGCCAGCCTCTGCAGCACGGCCTCTCTGATGCTCAGTCTCTCCATCTGTGAAATGGAGCAGAGGATTGTCAGGGAGTTTAAGCTGTGCCTCTGAGCAGGATGGTGCAGAGACGCAGCCCAGCTGTTCACATCAGGTGCTCTGTTGGAGTCACGGCTCGGGTGCTGATGGCCAGTAGCACCTTCAGCAAGCAGTTCACCCCAGAGAAGAGCTCCCGTGCTTGGTGTCTCCGGCCCCGGCTTGGTATGCACAGGGTGGATGTTACGTGTAGCTCTTACAGTGACAAGTCATGCTAAGGGGTACAATCATGGATCAGTCATGGTCCCTGCTCTGCGGAGTCTGCCACCTGGCAAGGAAGACAGAAAATGACAGAATTGCTAGGAGAGTGTGAAGCCGTGTTTTATGGGAGGGCAGGTCTGGGATGGTGTGGGAGCATCAGGTGGAGAGACACACCTGGGGCTGCGGGATGCTTCCTGCAAGATGTTGGAGCTGCTGTCGGGAGCTGCAGAGAGGTTGGCCTGGTCAGAGGATGTGGGGCATTCATGAGGGAAGAGAGAATGAGTAACAGTAGGTAGCTGCAAGAAGTTTCTTCCCATTTTCATATGAATTTTAGAATCCATTTGTCGATCTCTAAAAGAAACCTGCTAGACTTTTGATTGGAATTGCATTTGCTCTATAGATGAATTTGGAGAGAGCCAGCATTTTAATAGCATTTAGTCTGTTGACCTATGAACACAGAGCATTTCTCCATTCATTTAGATCGCCTTGAATTTCTGTCATGTTTCCTAGTGAAACTGAAAAGTGCAAAGGTCTTACTCGTTTGTCAGATTTATCTCTAAGTGTTTTGTATTTTTGGTACTATAAATGGTAGTTTTTAAAATACCAGTTTCCAGCTGTTCATTGCATAGAATGCTATCATTTTATATTGATCTTATATCTTACAGCTTTGCCAGCTCACATATTGTTACCAGCTGCTTTTTTGTAGATGTTATAGAATTTTCTTAGTAAATGTTCAGGTTGTCTGTGAGTAAAAAGCTTTACTTCTTCCTTTCTGAGCTGGATAACTTACTTCTTTCCCTTGCTTTATTGCACTAGCCTTGTTTGTGACAGTAAAGATGAACTATTGAGTCTGTCATCACTAAGTATGATGTTAGCTGGAGGTTTTTCATACGTGGGCTTTATCATATTAAGGAAGTTCTCTACAGGCATTAACAAAAAATATAGCTAATAAGTAACAAAGGAGGTGAAAATGAATCATAGATAGTATTCATTTAGTCCAAAAGAACAAATAAAGACAAAGGAAAGGAAGGAAAATGGGACAGAGAGAAGACAGAGAGCGAGACGATGGGTGATAAACTTGCATCAGTGATCAGACCAAAGGTACGGCTGAAGTGCTCTAACTGCGGATAGAGAATGTCGGACTGGGTAAGAAAACAAGACCCAACTGTACCTCCAAGTAATGAGTTTTAAATACACAGACAAAAATACACTGAAACTAAACGGACGGGGAAAGATACACCAGGCTTACGGTAATGAAAAACCTGGAGTGGTATTATGAGTAGCAGGAAAAAGTAAACTTCAGAGCAAAGAGTATTACCGAGGACAAGGAAATCTTTTCATAATGGTAAAAGGCTCGATTCAAGAAAACGTAAGCCATAAATATTTATATCTAATGACAGAGCTTCAAAATATGTGAAGGAAAGACTGACAGAAATGCAAGGAGAAATAAATCTGGAGAGTTCAATTAGCAGTCAGTAACTGATGGGACAAGTAGACAGAAATGAGTAAGGATACAGAAGATTTGAACTGTGCTGTCAACCACTTTGACCTGCCATTCGTAGAACATCCTACTCAACTATAGCCAAGTGCAGAGTACACAGTCTTTTCAAGGGCACACAGAACATTTTCCACAGTAGACCATACTGGGGCAGTGAGGGTTAGATTTTGTGTGTCAGCTTGACTAGGCTGTGGTGCCCAGTTGCTTGGCCAACACAAGTCTAGACGCGATTTTTGTCGATGTGATTAACATTTACAATCATTTGGCTTTAAAAGAGATTATCCTTGCTAATATGGGTAGGCCTCTCCAACAAGTTGAAGGCCTTTGAACCTAAATTGAGGATTTTGGGGGAGGAATTTCTCCAAAATTTCTTTCTCCAAAAACGGAGAAGGAATTCTGCCTCAAGGCTGTAACTCAGCTCCTGAGTTTCCAGCCTGGCAGCCTGCCCTACAAATCTCAAACTCTCCAGCCACCGCAATCACATTAGCCAGTTTCTTAAAATAAATCTCTTTGTACGGATGTGCACACATACATCATCCACACACATGCCTTACTGATTTGTGGTTGTTCTTCTCTGAAGAGCCCTGACTGATCTGAGAGCCACAAAAACAGATCTCAAACTTAAAAGGATCCTCAGTTTATAAAGTATATTCTGTCAGTAATCAAATTGAATTAGAAACCAGTAACAAAGATCTTTTTTAAAAAACCCCTCAGATTTGGAAACAAAACAGCACACTTATAATTAACTTATGGGTCAAAGAAGAGACTAAAAAAAAAGTATTTTGAAATGAGTGAGAATGAAGCACAACGTATCGCTGGTGGGATGCCGCGAAAGCGGTGCTTCTGGGGAACTTATAGTGCTTAATGCCTGCGTCGGAGTGGGAGCGTGGCCTTAGATCAGTAAACATCAGCTTCAACTTTAAGAAAGTAGAAAAACTGAAAGTCAAACCTCAAGTAAGTAGAAAAGGAAATAAAGACCAGAGCAGAAAACAGCGAAGTGGGAGCAAAAAACCTGCTGTCAGCACCAAAAGCTTGTTGTTTGAGGAAAATCAATGAAATCTACCAGCTTCTAACCAGACTGATCAGAGAGAAAATACACAAAACTCAAACATTAAGAACGGAAGCGGCGACATCGCTGCAGGGTCTACACATATTAAAAGATAACAGACGTTGCGAACAACTTGATGCCAGTAAACATGAAAACTGAGATGAAGTGGACAAGTTCCTTGAAAGACATAACGCCCAAGCTTACTCACGGAGAGAAAGAGTCAGCGCAGCCCCGTGTCCAGTAAGGAAACAGGGTTTTCTGTGAAACACGCCC